ATATTTTCCGGCTGACTTGCTCTAAGCAGCAGCACAATACTCTCTGGAGCCTGCTGGGAGGTCTCTTGCTCTCGCGTGCACCCTCTGTAGCACCCCCCAGCATCAAACCCTGCCTTTTGCTGCAAGATGAAGGCACAGATGGGTTAAGAGCAGGGCTGGACTCCCAGGGGCCCAATGTTCTCCCTGGGTCTGGTCAGACAGGAGTTATTTTGAGTTGAGAGGGAAGGCTGGGGGCGGTCCATGGTCAGTCCCAGCTACCCTCTCCTTCCTTCTGCTCTTCCAAAGTGCCCTTGTCCGTAGGGAGGGTGTCTGTGTGTCCTGGTTTCAGCTGGGATAGAGTTAATTTTCTTCCTAGTAGCTGGCATAGTGCTGTGTTTCGGATTTAGGATGAGAATACTGTTGATAACACACTGATGGTTTAGTTGTTGCTGAGCAGTGCTTACACCAGTCAAGGACTTTTCAGCTTCCCACGCTCTGCCAGGTGCACAAGAAGCTGGGAGGGGGCACAGCCAGGACAGCTGACCCAAACTGGCCGAGGGGTTATTCCATACCATGTGACGTCATGCTCAGTATAGAAACCAGGGAGAGTTGGCCGGGGGCCAGTGATTGCTGCTTGGGGACTGGCTGGGCATTGGTCAGCAGGTGGTGAGCAATTGCATTGTGCATCACTTATTTTGTATATTATTATTATTATTATTTTCCCTTCCTTTTCTGTTCTATTAAACTGTCTTTATCTCAACCCACAAATTTTACCTTTTTTTTCTGATTGTCTCCCCCATACCACTGGGGAAGGGGAGAGTGAGCGAACAGCTGTGTGGTGTTTAGCTGCCTGCCGGGTTAAACCACAACACTGTGTCTCCATTTGGGAACTGCACCAAGCAAATCCGTTTTTCTTCATGGCCTTTTGAATATCTAAGGCAGGGGATATCTTTCAGGCTGTTCTTAGTCAAGCAGTTACTAGGATTAGGGCTGGAGGAAGACCTTCTGGGTGATTTGATTGAGCCAGCTTGAGGGACGTATTGTGGCCTATGGTATCTATCCCATGCTTTCTTCTGGACTGTCCTTGCACTACAAATGGATTGTCCTGTTCAAAGCTCTTTTACCAGTCCTGTTCAAATTGCACAGATATCTTTTCTTTAGCTGGAAAGCTAAATATGATAAAAGCACATGATTCCTAAGAACCTGACAGGTTTTCTTTTCTTGAATTGTTTTTACATGTTTCATCTTTTCAGGCAGGAGATAAGCTGTAGAAATAGGATAAGCTGTAGAAATAGGATAAGCTGTAAATATTTTAATTGTATGCTTGTTGTGTATACTATGTTAGCTTCAGTCTGTCTGTTGACTGGCTCTGGTCCCCTCAGAGCTCTCAGAAATAACAATCCTGCCATACTTGAATCCCTGCAGCTAATTCATATTTATCCTTATTAAAGTTTCTTTTGCTTTGTGTAAAGGATGATACAGGCATTTTAATTTTATCCCATCTATTTCCCAAATGGGACACAGGGTGACTCAGCCCCTCTGGCTTCTATAACATCTCATTAGGAGACAGCCTGATGTCTGTGACATGATTGTAGGTTGCTTACTGCTAATTCTTAAACTCCATCTGGTTTTGTTGCTGCTGTTGTTGTTGTTTGGGTTTCTTTGTGGTGTGGTGGTTTTTTCCTGCTCAAGTATTTCAGTTTTAAGTAAAGCATGTGACAAGTTCACTCCTCATCATAACTGGTTTCAGAACTCCAGAAACTGAGTCCTGTTCCCAGACCTGCATGAAATTGTGTAGTTAATGAACTTATTACTGACTTCGTTTATACTGAAGTCAATGCAGCTCTCAAAGGGCCTGGTCTAATATGGTCTGCTACAAATGCAGATAGGCAACATAGGAGCTCCAGGAACACCTTTTGTGTCAGATAGCTGAAAGTCCTTCCCAATGATGCATGAGTACCCAGTTTTACCCTAGGGCAATGTCTGAAGGATGTCTTATTCCAGACATCTACTGTGACTCATCTGCCCATGAGTTCCTTGCCCTTCCTTCCCTTCATAGTCAGTGGGGAAAGATGAACACTTTGGCAGTGTGAGCCTAGAGTGGACGTCTAAAGTACTTGGATGACTCTGCCCTGGAAGTGCCTATTCTGCTCTGCTGTTAATTTCTATTAACATATATTAATTTCCTTCATATTTACTTGAGTTAAATTGCCCTTTTTCTGCTTTGCACCTGAAGGCACTGAGAGCTCTTTGAATTTTCTGCCAATCTGCATCCTTTTATGACTGAAGTGATGCCTATGACAAGCAGTCACTACTTATTCTTTTTTCTGTCTGTTTTCTGAAGCGATGTTCTTCCTAACATCAGCCTTCCTGGAAATCATTCATCTGTGTTGGTTCTGTCACTGCTTTCTCATAACACTATTTTTAACTAGATACTGCAGGGAACTTATGCTCTGAGGTGACAAGTTAGTGCTGATCCCTTTCTTTCCCCTTTTTTTTTTTTTTTTTCCTCCCTAGAAAAAGGCCTCTCTTTGCTAGGGTACCATCTGTGCAACTATAGCCTGACCAAAAATGTGTTTAAAACGGTTGCCTACCAAAAGTCCTATGAAAAAAGCACTTCTTGTGGAGGATGGATACCATGGATGGTGTGCCCCCGGACGTACTATAAAACACAGTATCATACCGTTGAAGTCCCTGAAACCATCACTCTTACAGATTGCTGTGAAGGATATGAGCAAGTTGGACTCTACTGCTCTTTAGGTAAGTTTTAGTCAGATTAATAGTTGAAATAAATGTCTGATGGAAGAGGATTCACTTAAGCTGAGACATGCAAAGGCTTAATTCAGTTCTGGGCAATAGGTTCCTGTTCACTGACATCAGTGAGTCTGCAAAAATCTGCAGTAAACTTGGTCCAACATGGTAAGGAGTAGACATGAAAGACTAATGCTCCTGATTCTTGCTCCTTGCTGTGCCTAGTCACAAATTCACTAAAGTTCCAGGTGAGCATGAAGAAGACACCTGCTTGTTACGCCTACAAGGGCTCATTACTTGTCCTGGTTCAGGCCAATACCTGTGGCAAAGTGCAATAACTCATATAGCCTTGCCTGCTGCTGTGTGTGCTCTGAGCGTGCTTGCATTTACAGTAGGAGCTTTCTTCTCAAAAGTTATTCAGGATGCACGAGGATAACATCTCCTTTGATTTGGAGCAGGGTCAGTTCCCAGGATGCAAAACCAGTTTTGGTGTTAATTTAAAACAACCTGTGACCTCAGGGCAAATTGGTACCAACTGCTTTCCGATCAAAACTAAATTAGGGCCCATTTTCTCAGGGCTTCTTTGGTTACCTAGGGCTATGTTGGAGGTGTGGAAACTGGTGGACCTTTTGGTGGATCTGATCTAACTTCTGAGTTTTAACAAGACTCTGCTTGGGAAGACTTAATCATCTTTGACTCAAGATGGAATCTTTTTCCCCTTCCCACATCAGGGCTACCAATTGTCAGCAAGAAATTGCTAATTTTTAGCAGAAGTCATAGGTGGAAGGGATTCCTTGGGGAAAAGGAACTTTTTTTTTTTTTTTTAATGGATAAAGCCACATGCTTTTAAGCTGAACAGGCATCTTGGATTAGCTAGGCCATAACTGAACTATTCCAGCATCCAGAAAAGTTCTGCAGGACATAATTTTGTCTCCTATTTTCAGTATGACATTGCATTTTCTCCATTTCCCCTTTTCAAGTTATCATCCTGGGAATTTACATAGTCTCAACACTGTAACAAAAGATTGAAAAGGAAAGGTCTTATTGCAGCCCTGGTCCTCGCTTTGGGTCATAAGACTTGGGTGACTCAGTTCTATGGGAATGTCCCTGAACCTGCTTCTGCATCGGATCATATAATGTGACATGAGAGGGTATGAGCCATATGTCTTGTCATGGGATCTATAAAGAACAATGTGTTCATCCTACTTTTAAGTTACTTCAGAGCATTGGAAAATAAACCTCCAAAGAATTTTTGCAAGGTATTTTCTCAACAGTTACTAGTAGAATATTGTGTCTAGCAGGAAAATTCCTTTAACAGAAAGATGGGAACACAGAAGTGGTCGTTGTGTTTTACTTGTTCTTAAAATGATTTGCTAAAGAAGAGGAATGAAAACATTAATTAGATACAAATCATCCCTCATTTATTGTATCCTGCAATTGTTTGGCTCTGTGGCTGTTGTGGAGTGTCAGCCAGGGCAAAATTTGACCTGCAGGTTACAGTATGTCCAGGCAGTCTTCTCAGACTGGCAATGGACCTGCTGTTGGTAATATGTATTTTCCAAGCAGCAGTTCCATGCTGGGGAAAATCTCCAGGAGATCTAATTAGTGTTGAATAGTCACTTCAGTAAAGTCTTTTTCATATACATACATGTGCATACATACGTGCACATATGTATCAAATGACAAGGCTGAGAAGCAATGGGAGAAAATTGCTTTTTAATTCTGTAGTGCAAGGAAATAGCTGTGTCAGGTAAATGTTGAAGAGTCACTAGCTAGTTATGGTTGCCTCTATTTGCACAAGAAATGCTATGAGTGATCAGGATTTTCAAGGTGTTCCAGAACCTCTGAAAATCAAGACCGTCTTCCTGGGTGGGAAAAAAGGCATCCTGGTAACACTTTAAATATTTTTTCCCAGTGTAATTCTATGCCTTTTAAAAGCATCTCTAGGGATATTTTAGGCTTGAGAGCTGTTGATGAGTTTATTTCACCTAACATTAACAAATCTGTAAATCCCTTGTAAAGCTTAGCTGCAGAATTTCCTCTCTGCCCTTGCCACATTGTTGATGGGCACTCTGGGCAGGTTTGTCTGTGAAATACTGTGGTCACCTTGACTCTTTTTCCTGTCAAAGTTAATTTGGGAATATTTTAAACCATAAAAGGATTTGTATAGCTTCTAGGTGATTTCTGTGTTTACATTATTCTGGTATCTTTGCTTTTCAGTGCATTAGTCATAAATTCTGTGAATGGTAATGCACTGTCTAGACACAGTCTTAAATAAATGATGAAAAGAGAAACTGGAACTGCTGAAATTACTGCACAGCATGCTGTTGAACTACTGTTATTTTCTTCTTAACATTATCCATGCTGACATGCTCTCCATCCTGCTAGGAGTGGAAAGGTCTCCATGACCTTTCACAGTAACCTGCTCCTGGCCACTCCCTGTCTTTTCTTCCTAGAAGGAAACATTTACCCCTGCCTGGCATATGGCAGGCCCCGCTTTTCTTATTTCTTTACTGTTGGGGAAAAAGTGTATATATCATTAGTCAGGTTGCTCTGGTAGCTCTCACTGGTTGCCCATCAATCCATTAGGATAGTATTAGGCACACACAAAAGACTTCAACTTTTTTAAAATAAAAATTGCAAAGTTAAGTGTCTAAAAGTTATGAAGTGCTAGAATTGATTATAAATGTAGAATTAAATAAAACCAATCTTTGTTTCTTTGTGCCTATGCATGCAGATTAGTAAAATCTTTTAATTACCTGATCCTGCCCTGCCTTGCTTCGAGGACCACGTTTCCATGTGGTGCTCAGGGACGATGGAGCCCCTCTAAGGAGCTTCCCAGCAGCGCATCATCCTGGACTCCATGTTCAGTGCATGGTTCAGTGCTCTGTTGAGCCTCTTTCTGAACATAGAATTATTTATCACCTCTTGAGGTGAATCCTAGGGCGATTCACAGACAGCAATTTGCCTTCACGAAGCCTGCGGGAAGGGAGGGAAGTTCTCTGTCTTTCACAGCTGGGCAACTGAGCTGCAGAGAGACTGAGATCAAACCATTCTCTGTGCCCACTCTCAGACACCTAGGGTGTGGTTTTACTTTTTTTTTAAATTTATTTTGATTTTGATTTTCAGAGTGCTTAGCACTACCTTTAACAACTTGCGTAGTTGGAGCACAGAGCCCCATGTCCTCAGTGGTGACTGTGAGCAGTCCCATGGTTACTAAGCAGGTCCCAGGGCTGCAGGTCAGGTTCCGGGACCTGCAAAACCCATGGCTCTGAAAGGTTGTTGCAAGTGTGTTGTATGAGATTTTCCCAACATCCTGCAGGAATTTCTTTTAGGCAAAGACAGGGTCCAATTCTCCAGGCTAATTTCCAGCTGCTTGAATCAATGGTGTGGTTACTTCTCTTGGTGGCTGGTTTGCTGCCCACCTTCCACCTTACTGCATAAGATGAAACCAGAGAGCTTCCTCATCTGCCATCTAACCCTGCTTGGTCCCCGGCCAGGGAGCAAACGAGTGCATCAGCATGTGATGAAGGCTGGTTTTTAAGCACACAAAAATATTTTGTGGTAAGAAGGCCCAGACAACCTTAATCCTGGAGGTTCTTAACTTGAGAACACTTAATTTGCAATGTTAAGGCTGCACTTTAATTAGGGTATGCTTTGTGTGCATAGCTTCCTAAGGTTTTTAGAAAAACAGCTGTAAAGTAAAAAACCCTTCATTTTAGGTGCCCATGTAGCTCCTCAGCAGGGCTGGGACCTTGCAGAGCCTGCATGCAAATGTTTGCATGTTGGGTCTAACCACAGCAGCAGGGAGCTGCGGCACGGCTGTCCCCCCTGCTCGGGCTGTCACCAGAAAGCCATGGGACAGCGGTGTCACTGGGGCATGTGGGCAGTATTGCAGCATCCCCCCAGGGTGGGAAGGGGGTGATCTTACCCAGAAGCACGTGTCTCTGGCTGCCCTGCAGTTTCGGTCCCTTGTGTGCCCCCAGCAGCCACAGAAATAGGATTACAGGTGTTGGAGGGTAGGTCTCTGCCATTTCCCCATGGTGTCTGCTTATGGGCCTCCTCTCCAATAGTTGTCTTGTCCCTTTTTGAGCCCACCAAAGCTGTCAGCCTCCGCACCCTCCTGGGCTGACACATTGTGGAAGTTCACTCCCCTTTGGGTAAAGAAGTGCGTACTTTTACCCATTTTATTGTGGGCTCTGATGAACAGCACCTCTGCTTTCACCTTACTCTGCATCTTTGGGATTTTGTAAACCTTGATTACATCCCCCTCAGAATTCTCTCACAGCAGAAAGTCCCAGCCTTTTTAGTAGTGTGTCCTTGCAAGTTGTCTGCTCCATTCAGTTATTCACCCCATGCCTTTCCAACCGCATTAGAATCACAGAAACATAGAATCATTTAGGTTGGAAAAGACCTTTAAGGTCATCGAGTCCAACTGTTAACCTTGCACTGCCAAGTCCCACTAAACCATGTGCCTAAGCACCACGTCTACATGTCTTTTAAATACCTCCAGGGATGGTGACTCAACCACTTCCCTGGGTAGCCTGTTCCAATGCTTGACAACCCTTTCAGTGAAGAATTATTTCCTAATATCCAATCCAAACCTCCCCTGGCACAACTTGAGGCCATTCCCTCTTGTCCTATCACTTGCTACTTGGGAGGAGAGACCAACATCCACCTCACTACAACCTCCTTTCAGGTAGTTGTAGAGAGCGAGAAGGTCTCCCCTCAGCCTCCTCTTCTCCAGACTAAACAACCCCAGTTCCCTCAGCTGCTCCTCATATGACTGCAGCTGCTCCTCAGATGCCTTGTGCTCCAGACCCTTCACCAGCTTCGTTGCCCTTCTTTGGACATGCTCCAGCACCTCAATGTCTTTCTTGTATTGAGGGGCCCAAAACTGGACACAGTATTCCAGGTGCGGCCTCACCAGTGCCAAGTACAGGGGGACAATAACTTCCCTGCTCCAGCTGGCCACATTATTCCTGATACAAGCCAGGATGCTATCGGCC